TATACACACACGCACACACAATCTGATTTCTGTTGTTTTTTTATTTTAATTATTTTTTAATGGTTTTCATTTTGTTTAATTTTTTTCATTAATTATAATAACCTTAGTAAGTTAAGCTCTTTTTTAACTGTTCATATGCCAAACAATTACTTGAGGTGTCCACAATATATATATATATATATATACACACACGCACACACAATCTGATTTCTGTTGTTTTTTTATTTTAATTATTTTTTAATGGTTTTCATTTTGTTTAATTTTTTTCATTAATTATAATAACCTTAGTAAGTTAAGCTCTTTTTTAACTGTTCATATGCCAAACAATTACTTGAGGTGTCCACAAAAAATTTGAAAATTCGACAAAAGGCTTGGCGCAAATTGTTTTAGTGTGAAAATTGCAAATACTTTATTTTTTAATGTCATTTAGTAACATTGGATTTGGTGTGAAGAGGCCACCCTGAGAGGATTTTTGGACTTGAGCCTAGTCAGCAGGGTATCTTGATTTTATGGAGGATTTCCAAAAAAAGCAACCCTCCATTTGAGGTTTGGCATTTCTTGAAAACATGCTTCTTTAATAAAAAAGATGCCCACTGTACAATACTTACTTAATCTTTTAAATTTCTTCTGAAAAGAAAAGCGTAGTAGTTTATTGTGGCATAATGGGTGTGTTTTGGTAAAGGGAGTGCGTGTTGCCTTCAAACGAGTGTATATTTAAGCTGTAGGCGGGTGGTGAAGGTTGAGGATGGTCTTGCCCCTCCACTGGCACAAAGACCCTGAGAGAAAGCACACCAGATAATAGCCTCTGATTAACAAGATTACAGGCCTTCTGCAGCATTACAACCATTCATCAATTACCCAGTTTACTTAGCATGTGTATGTGTGTGTGGGGGGGGTATTTTCAGTATGTTAAATGTAAATGAATGGGAGGTTACTCTGATGTTGCGTTTTGAATCTTCACTATGCGTGTCCATACAAGGGGCTACAGCTCCTGGTACAAAGACAGCGAGGTCTAGTGTGTGCATTTGTGTGCATGCGTGTGTGTATGTGTGTTACTGGTACAACAGAACACTGACTCCAGTGTGAAGTCAGTATAGTGTGCTGCTTGTCTTGTCATGTCTCTGATTTAATTAGCTGAATTTTAACGAGCCCCAGATTAAATCCCCCAGATGTCTCCGATGGAGCCCCCCCACCTCTGTTTCCATGGCAATGCCATTATTCCCCCTGCCAATTGGGCTCTAATTAGAGCAGCTATTATGGGCTGGAGGGGTGGGATGCGTGTGAGCATGTATGTGCATGTGCATTTTTGGAGGGTGATGGGGGTCAGTATTACATTGCACACCATGAAGCATCTGAATTTTGATACTGAAGATATCATGCTATTTTCCTCCATCAGTTCCTCCCCTCATCCAGCCCTTTGACTTCCCTCCTACCTCCATCGGTAAGCTGATGTACATAGCTTGTGTGGTGTCCTCCGGAGACATGCCAATCCGGATCACCTGGAGGAAGGACGGGCAGGAGATCGTGTCAGGAACATCAGGAGTCACCATCGAAACCAAGGAGTTCATGAGCTCCCTTCAGATCTCTAAAGTTTCATTGCAGCACAATGGAAACTACACCTGTATTGCCAGCAACGATGCAGCAACTGTCAGTTCAGAGAGACAACTCATAGTAACAGGTGAGCAAGAGAGCAAAGGTTATAAGGCAATATATTGGGATGGGATGGGATGGGATGCTCAGCATTTTACCAATTAGATCCATTTTCTGAAGCAGATTTACTTAACTTAGGTTCGGGGGATAGGGTTGAGACTGTGTTTGTTTGACCAAATGTTGTAATAGGACCAAAAAAACATGTCTTTCTTGGCAAACCACTTTATTGGTATCTCCTCTCCTGAAACTCTATATGTTCCTCATTGTAGTTCCCCCTGGTTTTCGGGTTCAGCCTAATAACCAAGATGGGATCTACGGCAAGTCAGAAGTTCTGAACTGCTCTGTGGAAGGGTACCCTCCTCCCAAAGTTGTCTGGAAGCATGCCAAAGGTAATATCTCTTTTTCACTACATGTCCGAATCAATTTCAAGTTTTCATGAGCAGATGATGAGCCACAACCAACACTGTCTTCATCTTGATTCTGAAGGTATAGGGAACCCCCAGCAATACCATCCAGTTCCATTGACAGGTCGCATCCAGATCTTGTCCAATGGTTCTCTGCTGATCCGCCATGTTTTAGAGGAAGACCGGGGATACTACCTGTGTCAGGCCAGCAACGGAGTGGGGTCCGACATCAGCAAGAGCATGATGCTCACTGTTAAAAGTATGTCAGGCTCTCATGTACATCTGTGCTCATGAAAGGAACCCCGGGTATTAAAACTTGTATGACTTAATATAACGTAAATGATGTCTTTTACTGAAATATGTGACCCTGGTCCACAAAACCAGTCTTAAGTCGCTGGGGTATATTTGTAGCAATAGCCAAAAATACTTTGTATGGGTCAAAAAACGAGTGAAATCTATGCTGAGAAACTCGTTCAGTGGCTGTGGCGTCATGACAAGCGTAGGCATGTTTACAACCTGCCAAGATGGCATCTAGCATTTCTTGCCTCTGCTGTTTGTTATTAGTTATTTTAGTAGCTGTGGTCTACTAAAAGTCTCAAAGGCATCAGGGCTAAAAGTGGTGAGAACAAAGACTCAGGACTTTAGGAAGTTTTATTCGTCCACAGGCATCTTCCCATTCTTTTCTCCTCTTCTTAGGACTACGTAGGAAAGCAGTGAAGACTTAGCATTGCTTCTCTTGTTGCTCTTCGACTAACAATTACAACCAAAAGCCACATAAGGTGGTATCGTATCAGTATTTTATATTCCGAGTTGTGTTGTGGTAAAAATAGCAACCATTTGACATCATCGAAATAATGCCCTCCCCCCCCCCCCCCCCCCCCAC